TTTCTTTTTTTTTTTTTTTTGGTACCTGGGGTCAAACTCAGGACCTTGTGCTTGCCAGGCAGGTGGGATGCCACTGAGCTAAATCCCCAGCCCACTTCATTTTATCTTTGAATGGCTCTCCTAAGAGTTCCTTCTGCTGTGGCATTCTTCTGGCTTTTGTGACTTCTATTTTTTCCAGACTTCTCCGTGAGTTCCTTCACTCTTTTTCTCCCTTTAATCTAGGTGTTTCTCAGGACAGGTAAATCTATGTTTTTTCTTACTTATGGTTTCTCCTGTATTCTTAGCCACAGTCATGATTTTTAACACTATACATGAAATGCTCTTCAAACTTATAATCTTCCTCTAAAAACTTTTACCACCAGGTCTTTAGATTCATGGATGTTAACTGAAGCTGAACATCTTCCCCTGAGCCAGTGTCCTAGAAGCCAGCCAGCACTAGCTGCCAAACCTGTGAGGGAGGACACATCGTTGACTTCAGGTCCTGTGAGAAGACCATAGACCATAGACACAGGGGTGATTCCAGGGCGAGTCAACAAGAAAATCATCCAACCCCCAGAACCAAGGGAAATAAGAAACCACCGCTGTCCCTAGTCACTGCATTTTAGGGTGTTTGCTACACAGCGAAGCTAACTAAAACAGAAACCAGTAACAACTGCAGACAGCCTCCATAACAAAAAGCTAAAACACGCGGCGTCTACTATGGGCCTGAATGAACAGTGGGCAGACACTGGACAGGCACAATGAGTGAAAACTGGACGAGCAGTAAGGTAACTGCTGTAAGAGGCTGCAGAGAGGCAGCTGTGCTATGAGCCTGCAGCACAGTCGGCGAGGCTGTCACCTGAGGCGACTTGGCAGGTCGAATATGGACCTAATAAACGACCCTGCTGAAGAGAAGTCTAGATTTCTGGTCCCCCGGAAATATTAAAACTGTAGATTTACTTTCATCTGTGTGTGCCATGACAGATAAGCCAGAGAAACCATTCAGGCTTCAAGCAAAATGTAGGGCAAATATACAGGCCATAATTTGTCAAACGGAAAGCTAAACCTGTTTCTCATCTGCAGTGCCTCTGGCTGGTGAAAGATTTAGGAGTAAACGCCAAATCCAGAGCACTGCCAATAAAACATAGCCTCTGCTTCACCATCGGTTTGAGGGTGTGTCTGCTGATAAATTTAATACCACCGAACCATTCCAAGTGGTATTTAGTCTTCCCTTCCAACAAGATTAAAGGCCTTCGCTGTACTGCCTGACACACAGCATGTCTGAAAAGAAATCGGGGGATGAAGTAGACTGTAATCAGATTTACTGAAAATGCACGCAATTTTTGAGGAAATTGTACCAAGTTGGAATAGAAAGGACGGAGGTGAGTATGAACATGAATGTGAGCTGTCCAATTCCTCATTGGCAGAAATAAGACTGAGAAGGTCACTTGGCTAAGAGGATGGGTTATTTCTTACAGAAATGGAAAGAATGGGAGAGTTGGTGTATTTGCCCCCTGGATTTCATAGTTATCATGAATTGATTTCTTTTCTGCTTGTTCTTTTGTTTTCATTTTGTTTTGTTTTGTTTTGCTTTTAGAGACAAGGTCTCCCTATGTAGCTCACGATGGCTTTGAACTCACTATGTAGCCCAGGCTAGCCTTGAACTCCCTGCGATCCTCCTGCCTCAGCCTCCCAAGCGCTGAGATTGTAGACATGCACCACCATGCCCACATCATGATTTCTAAGTATTTCCTTTTCCTGAACAGAAGTTCCTGTAATTCTCACAGAGTTGGGTGCATTGGGGGCAGATATGCTGTCCTTTTAGTTCACAGGTCTCTAGATAAAGAGAAGTCACACCGAAGGAGATGCCACCAAGAAGCCTCTCACCTGGACCAAATGCGGATCAGGAGATACTGGGCTCTGAGGCTGAGGACACAATAGAATGAAGCTATTATGAGGGGTCCTGGAAAAGGCCAACTATGTTTTGAATGCAGGAAGAATAGAAAAAAATTATAGCCAGTGGGTAAAGTGTGCCACATTCATATGGTCACAGATTCTCTGCTTCTCTTTTCAACAGGCTGGGTCTACTCTCTCACGCTCCGGATTGACATGGCCTCTTTCCCAAGTCTGGCAGTCAGGTGCTGGCTCTTGGCTCTGGGCTGTGTGCTCTTGCTTTTCCTCTGAGTGGACTTCCCTTGTGCAGAGGCCAGGCCAGCTCCGCCTTCACACAAACAACTCTGAGAACATTTCACATTAACGAGTCACTTAGGTATGTTATCTGCCCCCGCTTAGAAAAGGAATGTCTGTAAGAATGAAAATAAATTTTCTGCAGGGATTTAGCTCAATGGTGCCGCCCACTGCCTCACAAGTGCAAGCGCAAGGACCCGGATTCCATCCCAGGAGTCAAAAAAAAAAAAAGAGAAGAAAAGAAATTTTCTACCAAGAAGAAATTGTTCTTCAACAGAAAAAAAAAATGAAAGAAAAGAAGACATAATTTATAGATTAAAAAGAATTAAAGGATATACCAGTGAATTGCCATGTATGGACTTCACTGGGATTCAATTTGAAAATGTAAACTGTAAAAATAAGCATTTATTGGGCTGGGCATTTGGCTCAGTGGTTCCAGCTCCTGCTTCGCAAGCACAAGGACCCCAGTTTGATCCCCAGTACAAAAAAAAAAAAAAGAAGCATTTATCACATTTATAAGACAACTGAAAGTTTTATCAACTTGATATTTGATGTTATTAACTATTAATTTTAAGTGTATTATTATTTTACTACTTTTAAAGACTAAAATTTAGAGATGCATTTTGAAGTATTTACAGATCAAGTGATACAACATTGAAGATTTGATAGCAACACAGTATGGAAGGGGCTGGGGACTTAGCTCAGTGATTCCACTGCCTGCCTCACAAGCACAAAGTCCTGAGTTTGAGTCCTTGTACCAAAAAAAATAGCACGGAAGGTGGGTGACTGAGGGTACAGGTGGGAATTGGTCACTTATGAATGGTTTTTGAGGCTGGATGATTTTGAGGGATTTATTACACTATCTTATGTATTTTTGTTTATTTTAGAAATTTTTCATAACAATGAGTTTGTAAAAGAAAGTGCAAAAGACCTCTGGGCATAATAAGCATATCGCATACCACTGCACTGGATAAAATCTGACTCATCAGAATAGAGCCCTCCATTAAAATGTGTCATCTGATAAGTTTACTTGAACTTGATTTTACCTCATAACCTCTTTATATCAGAATTACATTTTAAGAGACGTTTTGGTTCATCAGGTTTATTTTAATGCAGTACATTGCTAAGAGTTAGATAAGTCCTTCAGCTGAGTGTGGTGGCGCACACCTATGATCATAGCACTAGGGAGCCTGAGGCAGGAGGATCGCCATGAGTTCAAGGCCAGTCTGGGCTACATAACGAATTCAAGGCCAGCCTGAACTGAATTACACAGCAAGATCCTGTCTCAAAAATAAATACATAGGGCCGGGGATTGAGCTCAGTGGCACCACGCCTGCCTCACAAGCGCAAGGTCCCAAGTTCAATCCCCGGTACCAGAAAAATAATAAATAAATAAATAAATAAGCACTTGAGAGAATTTTACATAAAAGAACTGAAATATGTTAAATTTCTAAAAGCAGTCTCAAGGACGGGTGTGGTGGCACACGCCTGTAATCCCAGCACTTGGGAGGCTGAAGCAGGAGGATCACTGTGAGTTCGAGACCAGCCTGGGCTACATAGTGAGTTCCAGGTCAGTCTCAACTACATAGTGAGACCCTGTCTCAAAAAATCAAAAAACAAAAAAAATTTTTAAAAATAAAAAAATAAAAGCAGTCTCAAGTGCTGGCTTCGGGAGCACTTATACTAAACGCAGTCTCAAATATTTAAAGATATCTAATTGTCTGTTTATAAATGGCACCAGTCCTTATTCTAAGGATCCCCAAAAGTGACTACTAAAACATGCTGTTCTTAAAATAATGAGGTTTATGTCTTGAATCTAAAAGCCTAAAGAGAAGTGTTTTGTTTTTAATTTTGACTAAACTTTAATAAATCAAACATTAATTTTAATAAGCAATACACTATTAGAAAGAAGAAATATTTGTTCTAGGCTCCCGAAAGCCATAAGGATTAAAGGCATTAAAAATTTTTAAATAGATTATGTGAACAATACCAACCATTTGTATTAGAGCTACATGCAATTTGGCTTCTTCTAGTAAAATTTCATCCGTTGGGCACTCATCTCTACTAGCACTTAAAATATGGGAAAACTGAAGAGTATCAGGCTACGTTGTAAAACATAAAGAGATCAAGTTAACATAAATAAAAGTTGTAAGAAGATACCAAGTGCTATATGCAACAAAAATTTTGATAATTCAAATCAGAATTGCTAAAATTACAGGCTAAGTATAACTTGGGTAACCTTTTTTCCATATAAGAAGTAGTTTCAGTTGTGGTGAATTATTCTTTTGGAGAGTTTGGGGGTTTGTTTTGGTTTGGGATTTTTTTTTCGATATTGTTTTTAGTTTTGGTTTTTGAGGCAAGATCTCACTATGTAGTTCAGGCTGGCCTCAAATCCACTATGTAAGTCCAGGCTCAGCTCGAACTCACTGTGATCCTGCTGCCTCAGCCTCTGAAGTGCTGGTCTTTTGGAAAGATTTCAAACCAAATTCTTCTCAAAACCTGTCCATGTTCGACTACTCTCTAAATTAGCCTGTGATTTCTGCTTTTTATAATAATTACACAGGGAGAGAACTCTCAGTCTCTCTACCCATTGGAAACATCTTAACAGAGCCCATGGGTTGGTTTTCAGCCAGCCAGTTCATGAAAGCATCCATTCTCCTGGTATTCTGTCAATAAGGGTGATCACCAAGACCTCCTCTTTAGAGACAGAATTCAAAGAGGTCATTTCACCAAGATAGCAAAACTACAGGGGCTGGGCATTTAGCTCAGTGGTTCTGCTGCCTGCCTTGCAAGCATAAGGACCGGAGTTCAGTCCCTGGTACCAAAAAAAAGAGAGCAAAGTTAGGAAATATCTCCCCTCAGTTTTCTAACAGTTAACAGAATCAGATTTTTTATTAGACTAAAATGAGACAAGCAGATCAAGGGAGGGAAAGAAAGATTTTTTTTTTTTTTTTGGCCAGGTATCAACTCACAGAAATAATGTATTCAATCTTTGTTTTTTCTTCTACTAATGTCCAGTTAACATTTGTCAAAAGTTTCTCCGTTTTAAATAAAGTTATTGTATTCTGTAGAATCTGTTGTATGTGATGAGTGACATTTTGTATAACCCTTTGTCTTGGGAGGGAAATAGCACACACACCTGTGATAAAGAAGAGCAAAGGCCTTAACACACTACAGTAGAAACTGAAAAGGAAAGTCAAAGAGTCAAAAGGTGAGTCGGGGACGTTCCGAACTCACCTGCATAGCAACAACACCAGAGTGCTTACAGAGACATTTTTTTTTTTTTCTTTTTTGTACTGGGATCGAACTCAGGTCCTTGCACTTGCGACGCAGGCATCGGAACCACTGAGCTAATTCCCTGGCCCTACAATTTTTTAATTAAACATTTTCCCCAAAAAATCATGCAATTATTTGTTTCCTCTTGGCTATGTAACTCAGCTTGATCTGACCCAACTGCTGAAGACTTTCTACTTCAAGGCACCTGCCGGTATCTCTCAAAAGGGAGAGAACTACCCGTGCCTCCTACAAGCAGAAGAGCTGCTTAGGAACCGATGCAAAGTCCTTGGCTCCCCTCCGCAGCCACAAAAATCGGATTGGCCCAAGGATTCGCACTTTAACAAGTTCTCCACTTGTTTCTTACACACAGTGAAATGTTAAGGCCCGTACAATAAACATCCCTCAAGTTTCACATCTCTGCATCTTGGTGAGCAAATCTGAATATCCAAAGCATAGCGTTTTGGATTTTCTTGAGGTATGAATTTGAAGTTAAGAGTTCTCAGGTTTGCTTACCAAAGAGGAGAACTTAGCGAATGACTTTTGCCCACCCGCTCAATTCCACCTCGGTGGAACTGTTCCGTCTTTGTAATTGCGTGGGAAAGGTCTCACAGAGTTAAAATGGTGTCCTTTTAAAATTTTTATTTTAAATTAAAGGTGATATTACATGTTTTCACTACATGAAGTTTCCCTGCGTCTTAGAGAGCAGGTACGTGTACAAAGAACTGTCTGATTCTTTTTCTATTCCCCTCTCCCTCCCCACCTACCTTCCTTCTTCCATCTCCAAATTCCCTTTCCCCATCTTCACTGCTGTTATTATTTTTCGCTTGTGTTTACGATGTCTAATGTTCAGTGTCATTATGGTTGCCTTACGTGACACATCTTAAATCTTTTCACCTCCCCGCTCCCTCCCTTCCCTCAGCCTCTTGGGCCACTCCCCATTTCTGAGAGCTCAATCTCTTTGTTTTCTTCTATTAATCTTTTATTTTGCTCTTTATTTAAACTTTCCTTACTCAAATGAGAGATACCATATAGTATTTAAATATGTCTCTGGTTTATTGACTTAACATTATATTTCCAGATATATGTATCCATTTTTCCTACAAATGTCTAACATGTATCCTTCTTCACAGCTGAGTAATATTCCATTATGTATATATACCATATTTTCTTTAGCCATTCATCTGTTGATGGGCATACAGACTGTCTTCAGGATTTAGCTATTATGAATTGTGCCGCTATAAATACAAGTATGCATGTATTGCTTTACTATGATGTCTTTAGAATGGTCATCCGCCTTACCTAATGTCTCAGCTGACTGAGTCATCATGTATGAGCTTATTCCCATAGTCAACAATGATACTGCTTGTACAAAGAATATAAACTAAAACAAAGCACACAGATGGTTAGAACCAAAAGATAAGTAAGTTTTCCAAAGATAATCATTGTCCATTTAAACAACAACAAAATTCTACTTTTTAAATCCATATTTTTCATCCCGTCTTTTGATAAATAAGGTAAAAAGGATGCTTTGTGGACATTGCTTGAACATAACATACTGATGCAGAAATTAATTTCCAATCAAAATGAAAATGTAAAGATAGATTTATAGACTCTGAGATAAGGACACCAAGAAAAGGTTTCCACGCTGCCCATCCAGACAGCGGCCACACAAAGCCAGCAAGGCGGTGCTGTCACAGAGGTGGCTGGAGACCCGGAGGGGTGGGGTTACGGCCCAGCAGGCGGTGGTGGTGGTGGCTGGGTAAGGATGTGTGCTGACCCCCAGCATGACTACAGCTACACCGGACCCTGAAGGAGCAGGCAAGAGCTGTGGTGGGGGTCAGAGAAGGTGCTGTACGCCAACAAAAACTGACGCAGCCTTGGTTTTGACATTTACTAGCCATGTGACCTGGGGCCTCGTGTCTAAGTGTCCTTCATTGAAAAATGCCGTTAACAGCAATACCACCTCCAGAGTATTTCCCAGACTTGGCTGATAACAGCTGCCTGCCCTAGTGCACTTGTTACACATACTGACTCCCAGGCCCTTCTCTGAAGATTGTGATTCTTTAGGTTGGTCGCTAACACTTTTCATTTGGGACATAGAAGGACCCAAGTCTTTGCAAAGCTACCTGCTTAGCTAAACTGTGAATTAATTTCCAGACCAGGCCCATGGATGTAAACCCTCAGGAAAGACGGGGTGAGAAATATAATTCTCTATCAAGAAAAGCACTTCTTCTTTTGAGAGTTAAGGCACCTGAGTTCTTTCCCATCATACTATACACAGAAAGCTATTCCCTGTTTTGACTTCTCTACATGCAAGATGAAAAGCTTCACAGTTTTTCCCAAAAAAGAAGGTATTTGAAAAGTGCTGTGTGCTTTTGGGCTTTCTGGGAAAGAGCCAAATAGCAAAGAAAAGAAAATCTTGAGCTGGAAATCAGATAATACCAAGAGCATTGTACATTCACCACCATATTCCTTGGTAAGTGGGAAGGTGGTCTTGAGTTTACAGTATCCACATGGTTCTGTCCTTCCCAAGAGCAAGTTGGGGGACTCTCTGACTGGGAGCTGGGGTGGTGCCAGTCCTGAAGATTTCTATGACCTTCTCTACCTTACTTACAGTCCGTCACAACCTACATCCCTCCAGCAGATCCAGTGGGCTCTTTGGAGCTACCTGGAGTGTCACTGGCAAAGATTCTGCGCTACCAGTCTGCCCAGAAATCCACCAGCCCGCCCAGAGGAGAAAGGCTTTGAGAAAGAGTGGAAAGGAAACAAGTTTTCTTTTTCACTCAGATAATGGAATCTTTGGCTTGAATTTTTTAAAATTGTTTCTGATGTTTCCAATATAATTAGATCCTCAATGCAATTATTGATTATAAAATCTTTATCTTATTTATAAAATCTTTCTCCCATTAATGTACCTAGCCAACATTTAAGTTTCTGTTCTCATATCTGTAGGGATTACAGTGCTCTCCATAAGGGTATTTTTTTTCATGCTTTCTGATAGATACTAAAAAAAAATAGCATTTATGAGCTCAATAACATTTATTGGGTGTTTATTAAGCAACAGGTATTTCATTGAGCACCATCTCAATCTCTGGATGCTGAGGCTGAGTGACTCTGTAACTTCCCCAATCACTGAGCTCGTAAATGATGGAGCCAGGGATTGGTCCCTTTCACACTGACTACACAAATACATTTTTCTCTGAGTTCCCTCCTGCTTAAAAAGAGTGCATTTTTAAAATCTACTTTGAAGCTAGCCCATTTTCTTATTGGATACAGTGACAAGGGCTACAAATAAAGTAAAGGTGAACAGATAATCATGAGACATGGTTTTTTTCCTACCATATGTGGAGCCTCTGTTTTTTGTTCAGCCAGATTATAAATATCGGGAGCCAAGAGTATGCTATAAACTCCTCTAATTCCAGACCAGGCGATAACAATTCCCAATCGCCAGTTGTATTCATGTCTCAAATGCATCAAAATAGGACTCACTAAAATAGTAGTAATCATCCTACAGACAGAAAAAGCATTAACGGTAAACAAATCACAACTGACATTGCTTATGTTGAAATTATGTACTCAATGCTAGATTCCATATAAAAATTTTCATGTAAGAGAAGACAGTGCAGATTATTGGTGTCATGCAAGCTTGCTGAAATTAAACCTGCTTTCTAAATACAGAATAAGTCTGAAAAATAATACTAGAGTGTGGCAAGCAAATAAAGAATATATGAGTGTTTGCTCAGGTCACCTCCCTGAAAAATTATGCCATGATAGTTGAAATACTGGGATGGCTGCAGTGATCCTGGTTCTTCACAGGCAGGAAGTTCATCCTCAAAATACAGTGGGTTTTTCCGTGAAAATTCTCTGAGGACCATGAAACAATGGTCCAAGTTTTGTTCAGCAGGAATTTGAGATTAAATGCAGTTTTAGCTCTCCGGAGAAAGAGCAGCATAAGTGAATTTGCCGCTTATTTGGTGAGAATGAATGACGTTGGAGTCGTGGCAGACTGTGCACTTCGTGCGCTCGCCAACAGTTGACACAAAGAAAAGCAACCAATTTCACTCGGCCACTATGTGCACTTGCTGGCTCGAGTAAAATCATTACTTAAAAGCAAAATTGAAAACTACGTAATAGTTGGCTTAAACTGGCTTCATGCAGTAATAAAATGATGGTAGTCAGAAATATCCAAAACTGAAATTATAAATGGTAAAGGGCCGGGGATTTAGCTCAGCTGTTCCACCGCCTGCCTTGCAAGAGCAAGGACCCGAGTTCGATTCCCCGGTACAAATAAATAAATGAATAAATAAAAGAAATACTCAGATTTTAGAACAACAATTAAGTAGATTGTGGAAACAGGAAAACCATCTTACTTCAGCTCCAGGATCTACTAGTAATATAGTTAAGGATGGAGATGCTATGACTGTTAGAATTGCACTGGGAGATGATGCTTTCATGATGTTTCAATGAAGTGCTCTATGAAGATTGTTCCCCTTTGTGCATTAGGGACCTATGGTTATTTGGTAACATAGTTGAAATATGCCTGGGCTTTGGGCCAGGGATTTAGCTCAGCGGTGCTGCCACCTGCCTCACAAGTGCAAGGTCCTGAGTTCCATTCCTGATACCAAAAAGATAAAATAAAACAAAAATAAAAACTACTAGGATTTAATGAAACCCAGCATATAAATAATTTATACTCTGTGGAAAAAAATAAGACAGAACTTGTTTAGGAACCACGGAGACCAATCATCAAATGTTTTGTGTATTTAATTTGAAAAAAAAAATACTAAAATGTGTTCAGCTATTTTCTTATGTTGAAAAGACTTTGAAAGTTTTAAAATCATAGTAAATAATCAATATTAAAATTTTTGTACACACTGAGATACAGTGAATATAAAATTCCTTAATTATTAATAAGCCAGTGTGTTATGATACCAATATCTGTATTTTAAAAACCAGCCATGCTTCTGGCATTAAACCAGGGATTTATATTAATATAAAATGTTGTTTCTAAAACATATTCCCCACTATTTTTAAAACTTGAGAATATTTTTAGTCTCTCTGATTTTTTTTCCAGAATCATCACATCATGTTTCTATGTATTAGCCCTGTATAAAGAAAAATATGTACTTGTATGAATGTTTAACTGGAAATACCCACAGACTTGGATCATTTATATTCACTTTTATTGTGTGTGTGTGTGTGTGTGTGTGTGTGTGTGTGTGTATATATATATATATATATATATACACACACACACACATATATATATACACATATATATAAAAAATATTTTCCATTTCTGAACCATTTAAACTTACTTCATTTAAGTAAATATAAATATTTCTTTAAAAAATAATTCTTGAAGTTCTATACAAATAATAGGATTTTTCTTTAACACTACTATATTATGTACTGTTCTCATTCAGGTGGTAAATTCCTGCATAAAATCTTCTTCAAAGAACTTGATAAGATAATCTATTGCCCAAAAGGCCATAAAATGGCCAGAATCAGAAATTGGAGTTGAAGGATGTACAGATCATGGCAAAAAGGTAAAATTATCATAGAAATATTAATAAACTTAATCCAACCAAGATTTTCTTGAGATCCCATAAAAATCTTAAACAATTAATTTTAGTTTATGCCTTCTTGCTCTCTAAGTCATTTTTCTACAAGATCCTCTAGAATCTAGCTTTAGGGGTTCTGTACCAAGAAAATATCAGTACTGTATTCCAGATGATTTAGAACAAACAAGATTTCAGCAAAAATAAAATCAGACATATCTCAACCTCAAAATCCATATTGTGAATCAGCTGCTCAGCTAGGAATCATACAAGCTAACTTAGAGAATTCCTCTTTTTGTGAAACAGAAAAATCTATACTCAGCGTCTATACTCTACATAGTTAATTTGGGCAAACTCTTCTGCTTTGCATTCAAATCTTTTTCAAAGTGACTCTTACCAACCCTTTTACTCTTACTAAGTAATTTTTCCAAAAAATATCATTGACTTTGGCGGACTTACTTTATATACAATCAGGTAAATTCGTGCCAACCTCTCAGATCAGTTCAGAATTATTGGGGATAGTGTGTGTGTGTGTGTGTGTGTGTGTGTGTGTGTGTGTGTTTGGGTGTGTGCATGTATATAAGCAATATCAGAGGTAGCTATACCTATATACATTACACTGTATATATGATATGTATATATAGTTACATACTGTGATACATATGACTACATATCATAATCCATATATTAGTACCTATTTTATAGTCTTACTATAAAATTTTATTTTTGAATATAAATATCTGTGTACTATTATAATTGCTAAGTTATATGACTACTACAACTCTGAAGAGGAAAAAATTGATTTGGATCACATAAGTCACTGTCCAAGGCAGAAACTGGCCCACATGTCCAATGGCTATTATGGAAAATTCAGAGCTCCCTTGACATATTAACTTTAACATCAAAGAGGCCAAAGTAATCTTGTGAAAGTGTTAAACCTGATGAGCTATTATTTTTTATTTTGCATCTCATCAAACACAAATCCTGAGGTAGGAATTTGTTTTACTATTTTAATGAGTTTCATAATTTGTATTTTCCTGATTGTCAAAAATGCAAATAATCTTACAAATGTGTAGCTTTCGGTCTACCTTCCAATGTTACTAAGTTAAGTGTCATTTGAAGCTTTTTCACACAGTAGAGTCTATTAACAGATTCATAACAATTTTCTATTAGCCTTAAAATTGAACAAATCTAAGGTGAGTAATTTGATAAAAGGGAAATGCAAGATTCTCTTGTCCACCAACTCGTACCTCTCAGTAGCTGGGCATTTTGGTCACTTCTAACTTTTCATCACTATGAATACCACTCCAGTGAAGACCTTTTGAATAAATCACTGCTCATATTTTAAATTTTACAGTAGTTTCATGAGGTCCAATTGGTATGCAAATATCTGCACATGTTTAATGTGTACAATTTGATGAGCACCTTGTCCACAATTTGAATCACAGTCTTAGAAGCAGTGTGATGTTTGCTTTCAGGTTTCCACTTGGTGAGATTAAAGAGTAGCTGGAGAGCTGACAAGGCTTTGCTGCTGGATGTGTGTGTGAGATTAACGTGTGGGTCAGCGGACTGGCTGGGGAAGATTCAACATTAATGTGGGACCCAGACAGAACAAAAAAAACAGAGGAAAAGGTGATTTCCTCTCTCTCACCTGCAGGTAGGACACTTTTCTCTGGCCCTCGAATATCAGCAGTTCTGATGGGCTCTAAGGCTTTTGATCTTGGGTTGAGAATTATATTATCGGTTTCTCTGATTTTGAGCTTTTAGTTTTGAACTGAGCCCTGCTACTGACTCCCAGGGTCACCAAGTTATAGATGGCTTCCCATGGGACTTGGCCTCAAAGTTCCATGAGCCCGTTTCCCCACCAATCCTATTTTGTGTATGTGAGTCTATATCACGTGTAACTGTATCTGTGTCTCCTATTGGTTCTGTCACCCTGGAGAACCCAGACTATCACAAATGGAATGTGAACAATTTATCAGATTTTTTATGTATTTGTTTAATCATTCAAAACAGTATTAAAATCTCTTCAGGAATCTTAACATATTTTCTAGATCAAGACAGCTGATGCTTTCCCTCAAGGGTTATGTTACACTGCGAAGATAAACATTAAATCACTAACTATGCAAGTAAGTATTCTGTGATACCTGCCCTGAGTGCCACAAAGGAGAGTTAAATAGTACTAAGGAGCACCGCCTGGTGGTATCTACCTACCAAGACGGTGGTGGGAGCAGGAGGATAAGAAGCAGGGAGGCTTCCCCTGGTGAAACACCATTTATTCTGACATTTGAAAGATGAATATGCGCTAGGGTTAAGGGTGAAAGACAGTGGAACAGAGACTTTGGAAGGTGCCCCGAAGGACAAGTATCTGACAGGGGTCCTGCTTGTATGGAAGGAAGAGAACAAGGAGCAGGGAAGCATTGGGGCGGCTAGTGAGGGGACAGGCCAGGAGAGTCCTCCTTATCACGTCTCCAGACGGCCATATTTATGACTTTTTAAACCACTGCTTACATGGCTGAAGAATAAGGCTATTTTTCATTTTATTTCTTTAATTTCTATCGACTTAGAGATTTTTAAGTGTCTTAGTGATTTCTTTTTTCCTGGTATGAAATTCTCATATTCTATAAATGATTCTATTGGAGACCTAATTACTTAAAGATTTGTATGACATGGGTTTGATTTTTTTATCTTTGTTTTAAACTCTAAAAGTAATGAATGAATATTGCAAAACTTCTAATAGTAAAGAAAATGCATACAATTTTAAAAAACCAAAGGCTCTCTACTTTTCTTCCACAAATTGCCTTCCCCAGAAGAAGGTAACCACTCTCAAAGGAGTTAAGTCCCGAAGTACAATGATGCTTGGGTCTTCTCTTATTTTTCATCGTCACCCCATCCCTCATCTCCTCCTGCTCTCCCTGGTCTCTGCATCCACGGCCAAGGCTTCCTTGCTGTTTCCTGAGTGCCAGGCTGCCTCCCTTGGGGCTTTGCCCAACAGTGAGCATCTGCCTACAAAGTTGCCCTGATTCTTGCTTCACTCCCTGGCTTCTTTCGTGTCATTACTTAAATGTCACTTCCTAAATGAGGCCACCTTGACCACCCTCTTGAAGATACAGCTCACCATCATCCACTTTCTTTATTTTTCACAGTCTTTATCACTTTCTGTTACATAATATTCACTATTTAATGTGCTTTCCCTCACTGATAGCCTCCACTATAATGCAAACTCCCTATGGGCATACTTTTTCAGGACTATTTTGACCATTCAAGGGTCCTGAGTGCCTAGAACAATGCTTGGCATTTAGTAGATGCTTGATAACTATCTGCTGGATGAATAAATACATACAGTAGTTTGTTTTTTGTGGGTTTTTTGGGTTTTGTTTTGTTTTGTTCTGTTTTTTGTACTGTGGATTGAACTCAGGCCTTTGCGCTTGCGAGGCAGTTGGTAGAACCACTGAGCCAAATCCCTGTCTTCAGTGGTTTGTTTTTATTCTTTAATTTTATTGAAAATGTTTTGTCTAAAAATCAACTGATACTTTCACTTGGGAATCCTTTCACTGCTTTAAAGTTTTGAAGTTCTTTCTCAGCCTGATAAAATAAGGATAGCTACAATAATAATAGAAACTAACATTGCTGCGCGTTTATTCTGTGCCAGGCAGGGTGCTAAAGTCTTAGACTTGGATTACCACATTAATCCTCAAAGCCACCTATAGCTACAATAGCTCTGTATTTATGCCCATTCTGCAAATAAGTACAGTGAAACTTCAATTAGGCAACTTTCCAAAATCACATAGTCACAAAAAAGCTGACAAGTGTGGAAGATGGAAGTTAGACCCAAAGATAAACACACATGTTATGCTAGGAAACAATAACTAATTTAAAAATGATTTTTCAAGAGATCCAGACACAGACACAGAGAACAGATGAAAGATGACTACTGATTTGACAGCCACACAGATTCAGCATGTGGCCACCAAAGTTAGACCCAATGTGGATGGGGCAGGAGTAGAGGTGGTAGGTAGATTATTGTAAGAGTAAATACCTGAGCCCATGCAATGCCTTGGAGTCAGTAAAAGCAAGAATATAGTATAAATAAGCTCCACTGGCCACTATCCATTGTGTGGCAATGACATTGTCCTGAATTCTTATAGAAGATATAGCTATCGCAAACAAGCATTGGCATTCTAGAGGCATGTTCACAGAATCAGTCTTAGTTGACTTTATCATGGCTACTGATCATAACAAATGATGACGAAAGTCAACAACAATGTTAAGAGCCATAACTCTCCTTCACTGGTACTCAAACTATCCTTGCGTCAAAACCACCAAGAGATCAGAATGTGGTAAAGCTCTTTTCCTGGCTCTCACCTCCAAAGGATCAACTCAGTAGACCCAGAATTTGCATTTCTGTCAAACTCAAGGGTAACACAGATGCTGCCAGTCTACCCTGTCTCATTTCAAACAAATACTTCCCCTGGGTTGCAGAACAGCTATTGTCAAGGCCATAAGAACAGAGCAGGTTTCTTGACTCCACATCAAGAACATTTTCTTTTTGTGCTGTACACTCCCCAGTTCTAATCCTGGGCTCAATTACTAAGCTCAGCAAAACAAACTTTAAAATATAATTATTACCTTGCAAAATTCACTGTCATGAATAAGATGAAAATGAAAACTAGAGTGTGAAAATTGAAATACTCGATTTCTCCACATCCCATCACAATGCCAAAGAAAGTATATATTAAAAGTTCATATACAGATGAAAACAGCATTAGGAATCTAGGATGAATAAAAAGGAAATCACAATTGAAGAGATGCATTTAAACAAAGGGAGAAAATCATTATTATTTCTTTAAATCCACATTATTTCTTTAAATACACAATTCAAAGTAAAATTCTGTCAGAGTTATATAAAAAACACTATGATCTTTGCGCTACTTGTGCTTCATTCATAATCAAAATATTAATTAATGTCAACAATTACCAGTACCTTAAGTTTTTTGCAATTGTACCTCAGAACAAGATTTAAACTTTAAAGGTTTTTTTAAAAGTTATATAGGGCTGGGGATTTAGCTCAGTGGTTTCACCACCTGCCTTGCAAGCAGAAGGACCCGAGTTGGATCTGTGGTACCAAAAAATAAATAAATTAAAATTTAAAACATAAAATAAAAATTAAAAGTTATATAAAGGGAATTTTAGTAGTACCCACAAAGACATGATCTCTTAAGCACTTAACTTCTCTGAGATCTGTATTCAATACAGGATAGGAAACTTACTTAGTAATTAAGTGCTCCATATTTGCTTTAAAGCTTAAGGAATCTAAATTCAGTCCCACTGTGATCAAAGCAACAATGCCTGACATTCCAAGATATTCCACTGGGGAGAGAAAAAAAAATGAGTAAAATTAAATGCATTTAAATCTGCACACTGAGGTACTTTATCTTGAGTGAAGAAGTGGTGGGAAATTTGAGAGTTAGTATTTCTTACTTAGAAAGCTATTTCAAAGGCTTGCCTAATCTTCTGGATCAGGGGTAGCAAGCTTGTTTTTGTAAAGGGCCAGACAGTAAATATCTAACCTTCATGGGGAATATGGCATCTGTCACAACTACTCACTCCACTGTTGTAGTGCAAAAGTAGCCATAGATATTATGTATACAAGCCAATGAGTATCTGATAAAACTTTATATGTACACACTAAAATTTGAATGTCGTAGAATCTTCACATACCACAAAATTTCTCTTCCGTTCTTTTGTAAACCACTTTAAATTGTAAAAGCCATTATTTACTGATAGATTTCCAAACCAAGCCTATGTGACCCCGTCTGCCAACCCCAGATTGTCACTGAGGATAGAGATAATGGAAAAGTGGGGTGCTCTGTGCGGCACCTTGAGGGGCATTGTGCTGCACGGACTGGGAGTCGTAGGCCAAGCTCAGTGTTCCCTCGGTACCTGAAGTCCTTGAAGCTTGCTTGTCTTCTGCCTCCCTAACTGAAGTGGTAATTCCTTGGGCTCTAAATTTGTAAATGTATTCTGGAGCAAGAAACGAACCATGAAGAATGTTTGAATACCATCAATACCAACAGTCCTAGGCTGCAGCATCTTCAAATAGCACCTTATAAACCACAGACAAAAAACTAAAGAAAGAACATGGAAAACAGAAATGGAAGAACTTTTGGAACAGGACGAAGTTGATTGCTATTGGAATGTGACCTTCCTTTTCTCCTTTGAGTTCTTTCATTTGTAAAAGAGGTGTGATTGTGTAACTGTTGTGAAAGTTAAATCAGATTCTGTAAAAATTGCTTGGCACACTTTTGTAGCAATTCACTTATTGCTTAGTAAAGTAATACTGTTCGTTGCTTTAGAGAGTATTTTATTATTCCTTTCACTTCTCTAATCACTTAAGTTCACTGTAGATTTTTTATCTGCTTATTTAACTGAGTTTAACTTAAATAGCCAATGACAGCAAAACCAGCAGTGCAGCAGTGTGACAGTGAAACCGCCTGTCCAACTCTTAATTTCAATTTTATATAATTTGTAGGACTGGATTTTGAATACCTTCTGGCCACACATTTGATTTGAATTAAATTGGGTTGGATTGGCCAAGCTTTCTGGCTGCATACCTAAATGAGCATAAGGAATCCTTATTGCCTAGTTAGATGATAATCTCATCCCAACTTGGAAAGTTGTATGTCAGAACTGGGACCCTTCTAACATGGAAATGATACTAAAATATTCTAAGGAACTCCATCCTCCCACTCTGCTCTTACTTCACACCTTTAGGCCTCTGTCTTGGAGGACGCCAAGCACTGGCTGGAAAAAAACTCTATTTTTTTTTTTTTAAGAAGGAAAAGGAAAGGAATCAATATTTTTTAACTGCCATATTTTGTACCCGGTGATGTCCTGGTAAATGTTTTGAACAAGCTCAATGGGGGGTCCCTGATTTGTAGTGTCTTCCAGTATCTGTGGTATAAAGATTCCCACCATGGCCAATTTCATGACTATTAATATAGAGTGAGAAAGAGATGTGCATAATCAGCTCTCGCCCACCTGCAGGAGCTATCTCGCTACAGCTCACTGGCATAAGCAAGTCACATAACACACATGAGCTCACTAATGCCTTCCTCTAACTAATACCTCTAACTAATAAAGTAGATGTGACCGGCCACTTTCACAGATGAAGACACTTAAGCTTAATTATCCAGTAAGGTCAATTATCCAGTGTCGATGAGCTAATAAACGGTGGAGCCGCAGTTTGAACACAAGTCCGCTGGACTCCAAAGCTCTTGGAGGACTAAAGTCAGTTTATTCCGCCCACATGTGTTGTTACCAGCTCAGAGCTTGGCTGAGAGGAGATGGAACAAATAAAAAAGGAACAAAGGGGTAGACTCTACCTCGAGGAACTCACAGTCTGGTAGAGAACAGAAAGACAAATTTTTGCAGTGATTTAACGAATCTGTAAAAGTTTCACAGGAGAAAAAAGAAATGAAGAAGCTGAGTCTCTGGTGAACGTTTTCTATAATTTTACTGACTCAGAGGAATGAGCAAAGTGCCCCCCACCCCACCACAGCAATTTATCTGTGGGAGAAACAGTGCTTTTAGATAACTGGACGTGAAAAGAGGAATAACTAACCTCTATGGTTTTTAAGGCACAGAAGCTGTTGCACTCTGAGAAATGAGATCAAAAGCAGAAATTGATAGATTGGCCTTTCTATGTTACTATGACTCTTGGGGACCTTGCTCTGGCCAGTAAACACTTTAATTTTTGCTAGCTGAAAGTTCACCAGTGCTGGGCACTCTTACTCCTGTAATTATTTCACTTTCTTGCCTCTCTTCCAGACATAAATATATGCAATTTCTCCTTCTTTCGTGCTTCTAGGTTCAGAAGAGGACTACCACTCCAGCAGCTTCCTCGGGTTATGACCAACTGAATTAAAGCCTGCGGAGCTGAAAAGCCCTTAGAAGCATCTCTCTGAACTTTCTCATTTTACAGATGAATCACTCAGGATCAGCGCAGAAATGATCTTGGTGCTTATTCCTCTTCCAGAGGATTCCCAGTGACTATCTGTGAGGTCAAAAAGGATAGAGTTCAAGAGGAAAGAAAGTAATCCAAGATGAATGGAAAGAGGGCAGGACATGGAGTTACAATAAAGAGGGTGTTAAAGATAACAGAAAAAAGCAGCACATGACAGTAACATAATATGACAAGATACATGGACAGATCACAAAAAGGAAACATTATTGAGAAAAAGTGACTGGAATCAAGATAAGGACAAAAATCAAAATGTATAAAGTTTACTTTGAGGACAACATTTTTTGTATTTGTGTGTGCCTTACCGATGTAGAAAGTCATGTACACCAACGAAAAGCTGAGAACGATATTAGTCAGTGAATTGTTAAAAGGGTCAGTCAGTATAAACTCAATGACTCTTGCACACCAATATCCACATACGATACTTCCAAAAATGTCCAAGATGACTCCCACAGCTACATGTAACTCTACAAAAAAGAAGCAAAGGGTTGAGCAATGAGTTTGATTTCATTCGTTGATGACACCTTGGTTTGCTCTTGAGATTTTGAATGGGGTCCTTGCGCATTATGAGCATCCCATAAAAGCCAAATATAGTTTAAGGTTTACTTATCCCAAGACAGAACATTCAAATATCCTCAGGGGGCTGGCAAGGAGCATAAATGTGAAAAACCTGTGACAAATTAGAGACTGAATACCCAAACAAGAGAGAACCCAAGTTGGGGATGTTACTCAGGAGTAATGTCTAGCACGCATGAGGCCCTGGGTTTGATCACCAGCACTGGATAAAAAAGAGATTACCAAATTCAAAAATGTTTAGAATTAAGTGGATCAGTAAGCTTTCCTGTTGCTAGGACAAAGCACCTGACACCAGCAATTTCAAAAAAGAGAAATTTATTTGATTCATAGTTTCAGAAGTTCACTTTCTGACTGCCTGGTTCCAAGTCAGAAACATCACAGTAGAAGGCTGTAGTGGAGCAAAACTGCTCTCTTCATAGAGAGAAGAATGGGGGGGCAGGGACTACATGCAAGTCATGTCTCCATGATGTACCTGGACCCACGCAAACATGGGTTCTCCAGTCCCCTAGGCAACTCTCAAGCCAGTCAAGTTGAAAATCGAGGTTAAGCGTCACACTGCGTCAGGACTAAGCAAATCATATCCAGGAACCCTGAGTTTGCAACTCCTACCCCTAGTCCAGAGGGACTTTGAGACATGGAGAAGCAAATTTGTCATTAGTCATAATAACTGTCAGTGCTAATGGCAGTAAGTAGATAAGTATCAGGAGAGTCCTAAATCATAAAACACTAAATGGCAAAAACCGTCATACTCTAAATGCCTAGAGTTCCTTCATGAAGAAGCACTGAAATGTTCCCCAAAAGGCTCATATGTTCAGAGGTGGGGCCTGGTCAGAAGGCCTGAGTCAGTGGGCGGGACCTGGAGGGGTGTATTCTTGTCCCTGACTCCTCCCTTTGCTCTCTGCTTCCTAGCTGCTATGGGTTGAGAAGCTTTCCTCTGTCAGTCCCTTCTACCATGCTTCTTCTGCTTTGGATCCAATCAGTCATGGCCTTTACCCATTAAAAACCATGAGCCAAAATAAACCTCTCCTCCTTTAAGTTCTGAGTGCAGATTTATTGTCTGGTGATGGAAAAGTGACTTGTATGGGCAATAAGTGGACAAGTACAAGAGTTGCTCTAACCCAAATGTCTAGCTCTTTCATTGAGAAACACTGCAAACTCTTCCTTACCTACCAGTACTTGTTTCTCCTTCTGTGCATCCCCTCCTCTTGCAGCTATCACAAATATACATCAGGAGAACATAGTTTCCCCCTTTATGCTGTGATTTCCTTTTCTCCTTTCTCTTTATCTACTAGTTCCACAACGGGAAAACTAGCATGGCAACAAATTCTTTAATCCCGATGACAGTTAGCCACATATGGCTGTGTCACCTCTAGAATCTTCTCCCCAGGACTTCATGAGCCACTCTACTTTTACCCTCAGATTCAAATACAGGATCATGCCAGTTCTTAACGTCCACACATTGAGATCCAGATTGATCCAGGAAAGAGGTAAAATGTGACAGATGATATAATCATGTATGTTTTTATGCATACCCATATGCATATTGAAGGAGATGAAATCATTTTTAATGGTTTTTGCCCTTTGGTGTCCAAGAAAACACTTAGATGGTAATTGTTTTCTTGTTACCTAATATGCCATTCTAATTGGTCCAAGGATCAATAGAGAAAGTGAAGACATCTTCAACATATTTTAAGTTTCAGTAAGTCAGAAAATGTATTTTATGTATTTTAATTTCAACATGTCAGGAAAGACATCTTGAACATATTTTAGTTTCAACAGGAATAATTTTAGAAAATATGGATGCCCAAACACGCTCTTACCTCTAAACATGTTAATATCGTCTGAGCCACCCCGAAAAATTCCATAAAAAATGTGCATGACACTACAAAGGATCAGTGATTCTCCTCTAAAGAAATCAGTATACATTTTAGAAATGCCTAGAAAAGAAATATAAAATACAATTCAATGTGGCACATGAAAATTGTGCTTTTGCATGAGAAACATAAAAAACAGGAGTAGGATGGAAGAAAAGAAGGACATAACTGGGATGCATCTGTAAGACAATCACAATCACCATTTTTTAATTTCTCCATTGTGCCTTCTGAATTTCCAGGGACCATCGAGCATGGTAATAGGACTTCTGTTGTCCATCGCCTTTACCATGCTTGAGCTTCGAGATGAGACAAATCTTAGGACACCACATTTAGCTTGAATAAACATGAATTTGACACCAAAAGAACTTCATTTTAGAAATAAGTACAAGCTATGAGCCAGCAATTATGCTCCTAGGTAGATACCCAAGATAATCTAAAATGTATGTCCACACAAAGATCCGTGCATGAATATTCACAGCAGTATTATTCATAATAGCCAAAAAGAGGAGACAACTCAGTGCACACCAGTTGATGAATGGATAAACAGATTTGTCATATTTCTGCAGTGGGACATTATTCCTCCACAGAAAGAAAGCAGTACTTATTAATACATGATACAACATGCCTGAACCTTGAAAACACTAAAGGAAAGAAGCCACACACAAAACCCACATACGACAATCCTTCTTTATCTGTGGTTTTGCTTTCCACAGTTTCAGTTACCTGAAGTCAGTAATGGTCCAAAAATATTAAACAGATAATTCAAGAAATAACAATTCATAAGAGGTAAATAACTTACTACACTATATTAAGCTACGAAATTGTCATTTTCCTAGACCATTATTAGTTATTGTGATTAATCCCCTTAATGCGTATAATTTATAAATTAAACTTTATCATAGGTATTAGATAAAACATATTGTACGTAGGGTTCAGTACTGTCCATGGTTTCAGGCATTCCCCTGGAGATCATAGAACATATCTATCATAAATAGGGAAGCACTATGGTACTGTATGGTTTGATTTATACAAAGTAGCTAGAACAGATAAATACACAAAGACTAAAAAGATATCACATGTTACCAGAGATATGAGTAGATTAGAACTTCCAAATCCAAATTCTGAGAGCATTTTCTTTCTGCCTGAAGTGCTTCCTGTAACATTTCTTGTAGCACAGGTTTGCTGGCAAGAAATTCTTCTGGCTTGATTATATTAAAGAAAGTCATTATTTTACCTTCCCTTTAAGATATGTTCATGGAGTATAGAATTCTACATTGGCAGAATGTTCTTTTAGATCTGTACAAATGCTACTATGTGTTCTTTTGGTTTGCCTTTTTTCTAGAGATTTTTATCATTTTTTACTATAATTCTGCTGTATATAATGTTAACACTGTTATGATTGTTCCTCTGAATATAATGTGCATTTTTTTCTAGCTGCTTCTAAATTTTTATTTTTCATTGGTTTTAAGGTCCTTAGTTTTGTTTTGTTTTCTTTTCTTTTATTGAGTTTATTGGTATATTTTGGTATGCAATACAGTTACATTCATTATTGGGATCTTGTACCTTTACATGACAGGTCTTGGTTCTCATTTTTTTCCCCTTGTCCCTGCCCTCCCTTCACCTCCTTCTCCCCTCCCCATTTACAAACACTTTATTTTCATTTTCTCATATTTTCCCTTATTACCTTTCCCCTACCCTTCCCTCTTTCCCTATACCTTTAGCCCTTTTCTTCCCATTTCACAATGTCAGTTATCTCATTAGGATCTTATGTCCTATTACAGTTTGTTCACACCAGAGAAACTATTCGGTATTTACACATGTGTGGCTTATTTATTTCACTTAAGAGTATATCCTCAAAATGTATCCACTTCCCTATGAATGAATCTAATTTCTCATTGTTTATGGCTGAGTAGTATTCCATTTTATAGAAAAACCACATCTTCTTTATCCAGTCTCCAAATGATGGGCAAATGGGCTGTTTCCAAGTTTTAGCTATTACAAACTGTGCCGCTATAAACACAGGTGTGCATATATCACTCTGATATGATTCTTTTAATTTTTTTGGAAAGATAACAGCAAAGGGATGCCTGGGTCAAATGGAACTTCTAGTCCCAGCTCTTTGAGGTATCTCCATATTGATTTCCACAGTGGTTGCACCAGTCTGCACTCCCATCAACAAGGAAGAAGGGTTCCTTTCTCCCCACAACCCTGCCAACATTTGTTATTGTTTGATTTCTTGATAGCAGCCATTCTTTGTGGGGTGAGGTAGAATCTCAGTGTTGTCTACATCTGCATCTCTCGAATGACCAGTGATGTGGAGCATTTTTTCATATATTTATTTGCTGCTTTTACTTCCTTGTCTGAGAAATGTTTGTTCATTTCAGATGCCCATTTTTGAATCAAGTCTTTCTTTATGTTGGGGGGCTGGTTGTTTTGAGTTCTTTATATATATACTAGATAATAGTCCTTTGTCTGAGGAGCAACTGGTAAAAAGTTTTTCCCACATTGTATGTTGTCTCTTAGTTCTGTTGATGGTTTCTTTTGCAGTGCAGAAGCTTTTTAATAAGATGAGATCCCACTCCTTGACTCTTTCTGCTAGTTCCCATGCTGAGGATTTGTTCATAAAGCCTTTTCCTATGCCACTATCTTCAAGAGTTCTGCCTAACTTATCTTCCAGCAAGTTTAGTGTTTCTGTTTTAATATTTAGATCTTTAATCCACTTGGATTTAATTTAGTGCATGGTGAAAGATAAGGGTCTAGTTTTAATCTTTGGCAGGTTGAGATCCAGTTTTTCCAACACCATTTATTAAAGAAGCCATTCTTCCTCCACTGAGGATGGTCAATGAGGGAGCTGAGTATATCTGGAGTTGTTTTTGTGTCTTCCAGTCTGTTCCACTGATCTTCAGGTCTGTTTCTTTGCCAGTACCATGCTGTTTTTATCACAGTGGCTTTGTAGTATAGTTTCAAATTGGAATTGTTATACTCGCTGCCATGTGTCTGTTGCCTGGGATTGCTTTTGCTATTCTAGGTCTCTTATGGTTCCAAATGAATTTTTGGATTCTTTTTTCTAGTTCTGTGAAATATAGTGTTGGAATTTCAATTGGCATTGCATTGAATCTGTATAGTAGTTTTGGTAGTATGGCCATTTTCACTATGTTGATTCTTCCTACCCAGGAGCAGGGGATCTCTTTCCATTTTCTTATATCCTCTTTGATCTCTTTTTTCAGAGTGCTGTAGTTTTCAGTGTAGAGGTCTTTTGCTTTTGTTAGACTGATTCCTAGATACTTCATTTTTTTTGGATGCTATTGTGAAAGGAATTGTTTCCCTAATTTCTCGATCAGTGAGTCTGTTATTTGTGTACAATAAGGCTATTAATTTTGGGGTGTTAACCATGTATCCAGCTACTCTGCTTAAAGTGTCAACTAAGTCTACAAGTCTTTTGGTAGAGTTTTTTTGGGTCTTCAATGTAGAGTATCATATCATCAGCAAATAATGACAGTTTAGCTTCTTCCTTTCCTATCTTTATTGCTTTAATTTCTTTCTCTTGTCTAATTGCTATGACTAATGTTTCCAGAACTATATCGAAGAGGAGTGGTGATAGTGGGCATCCTTGTCTTGTTCCCGATTTTAGAGTGAAGGTTTTCAGTTTTGGGCCATTTAATATGATGTTGGCTGTTGGTTTTTCATAGATAGCCTTTATTAAGTTGAAATATAGACCATCTATTCCAATTTTTTGCAGGGTTTTATCATGAATGGGTGTTGAATTTTGTCAAATGCTTTTTCTGCATCTATTGAGAGGATCATATGGTTTTTGTCCTTGACTCTGTTAATATAATGTATTACATTTATTGACTTACGTAAGTTGAACCATCCTTGCATCCCTGGAATAAATCCGACTTGGTCAAGATGTATGATCTTCTTGATGATCCTCTGTATTCTGTTTGCTATTATCTTTTTAAGGATTTTTGCATCTATACTCATTAAGGCGATTGGCCTGTAGTTCTCTTTTTTAGTTGCATCTTTCCCTGGTTTGGGAGTCAAAGTGATACTTGCTTCCAGGAATGAATTTGGAAGTATTGCTTCCCTTTCAATTTCGTTGAAAAGTTTGAAGAGTAATGGCAGTAGTTCGTCTCTAAATGTCTTGTAAAATTCAGCAGGGAATCCATCAGGTAAGGTCCTTAGTTTTTATGTTCCTTGGTGTAGTTTTCTTTGTGTTTATTGGGTTTGAGATCTATTGAGATTCTTGAATCTATTCCTTTAGCTTTATCAAATTTAGAAATTTTGTATGCATTACTTACTAAATATTTTGGTTCCTCCCACTCTCCCCTCCTTAAGGGACTCGCCTATCAGATCACTTGAAGTTGTCCTACACCTCCCTGTTTCTAGATTTGATTTATTTTTCCAATGTTTTTTTCTCTGAGCTTCACTTACAATACTGTCTATCACTATATCTTCAAATTCATTAATCCTCCCTTCTGCAGTATCTAATCTCTTCTTAATTCCATCTAGAATTTTTGAATCTCCAACACTATGATTTTCATCTTTAGAAGTTTGACTTAGACATCCTTTGTATCTACAATGTTCACTAGTACATTAAAAAAGCAGCTCTCCAAAATTTAAAAAGTCCTAATTTGCAGTGCTTGCCAATTCCATGTAAAAACACCTCCACTGTGGCCATTTCTAAGCTACCAATCTTTTAACAACTGGCTTACAAAATTCTTAATTAATAACTGACTATTATAAGCTGATATGAGCAGGTTCTACAGTATACTCAATTTTTTCCTTTTACCTTTTGAGCATATGGGATATGGTTATAGTAACTTTTTTAGACAAGCTCTTGTTTTAGTTTTCACCACACTGTCCTCAAAATCTTGAGCTCAACCAACCCTCCTGCCTTGGTCTCTCATGTAGCTGAGACTACAGACAGGCATCAACATGGCCCAGTTATAATCATTGTTTTAATGTTTCTGTCTACTGATTCTGCCATCTGCATCACTGTTGAGTCTTACACTTATTATTTGAGTACTTTTTTTTATGAGACAGGGTCTCATCATTTAGCCTAG